GCTGCTGGTGCTGCTGGTGCTGCTGTTGTTGTTGTTGGCGGTGGTTGTGGTGGTGGTCTTGGTCGTCGTCGTCGTTATTGTTGCCGTCGTCGTCGTGGTCGTGGTTGTGCTTGTGATGGCGATTGTTGATTGTTGTTGCTGCTGTTGTCGTCGTCGTTGTCGTTACTTGCCACACATGATGAAGGACAGCTTCCCGTTTTAGTTAACTCTGTTTCTGCAAACTGGCCAGGAGTATGTCCTTGGATGGCTCCCGGGGAACGGGCGGTACATCACGGTCCGTCAGCCCGGAGGAGCAAGCTTGCCGCGCTGGGTTGACGGCTCGGCCCTTTCGCTTGCCATGTTTTGTTCCGGATGCGATGTGGATCAAGCTTCCAAATTCTGCAGGATCCCTCCAGAGGGCCTTCCATGGCAGACCTCCAGTCCTCAGGGCGCATGGCCAGCGGCCTACCTACCACTGGGCAACCCAATTCTCAGCGTTGGTTTTCAGCTTCCAGCTCTATCTTACATGCATTGCATGGTTTATTCCGAAAGCATCTAAGCATCAAGATACTTGGGGGCTCATTGCAGGATGACGGGGATTCTTCGGGTTTGGACAGAGCTGATGATAGGCTTTCAGCACCCCGCAGAGTTGTTTTGAGGTTGGGAGCGCAGTGATGACGAGGATGCACACTAGATGTGTAGATGACTCTGCACACTTCTCTCGTAGCTGTGGGAAGCCCTTGCCAAATTCCCTGAGTCCTCCGATGTGCGATGATGTGCACATCAAGAAGCCAGTTGCCAGATTCAGGTTCACATACAAGCTCAACTCGTTTCGTCAATTCCTGCTACATTCGTGCAAGTTCGAGCACGCGTCATGAATTGAGTCTGAGTCGTGAACAGTGATACCTTAAACACATGCGATAGATTAAGCGGAGCGATCCCCGCCAGAGGTTTAGTGTAGCCTCACAACGTCAGGCCCGTGGTTCTGCGGCCTCCGTCTCCAGCGGTTCGCCTGAGCTGAGCTGCAGGGTTTTGGGGTTCGGTTCATGCGGGCAAGCACGCAAGGATGGTGTCTTGCCTCTGTGTCTGTTATGACTCGCTGTGTTGCAGGTACGGCTCGCTATCCCCCGGAGTCGGAGGGCGAGATCTGTTTGTTTGGAATGAGCGACGACGAGGAGGTGCCTGCAGAACATGTAACCTACAAGGCCCTACAGTCTGTAGGAGACCTCGCCATCGACAGCAGCTTTCTCCCATCGCTACGTTATGCTGCGTTTCGTTTTGCATGTTTCCTCATTGACCTCTTTCCTGCTGGATGCCCTCTGCTGAAACACAGCCGGATCAGGAGAAGATGCCGTCCGATGAAGATGATGTGGAGAGGCCTACGCCGCCGAACAAGCTACGTCCGAATGGGCTTCATTTTCGATTTCAGCAACTGCCGCGAATTCTATATTGCTTAGAACCTGGGAAGGAACGTCGTTGCATCGGCCATCGTGGAGGCACCGACATCTCCAGGGTCTGAGGCTTTGGAACATAATTTCACGAGGCATGAACTGATGAAGAGATTCCCATGAAGATCAGGCTTTCTTCATGAAGATCCATGCCAGCCCCAAGTACAGTGGAACCTTTCGGTTGCGCTTGATTATGTCTGGTACAAGTCTACATCACATTTCGCTTGATGCGCTTCGGCCATTCATGCCAAACCTGCTGATGCAGGCTAGCGTGCGCATGCACGTGAAGTTGCCTGTTTACCACAACATCTGCAAGACCTAAGCCTAAGCCCAAGCCTCCGTTACGAAGCCGCGCAAAGGGTGGCGGTGGCGGAGCGTTCGCCACAGCATCCACCCGTATCGATGTGTCGAAGTTGGCCAGGAGCCCAGTAAGACCAACAGCAAATATTTCGTACAATGGAAACAGACTGCGGGATCGTGCGCGCATTTGCTTTCTCGGAGGTGGAATAGTGGAGTGTTGATCGGGGTCGTAGGAGGTCTTGTATGTGATCCTAGCACTGGCATGCACAAACCGTGTTCTGACTTGATGGCCGATCTCATGTGCTTTGCATCATCCCTATTCAGTGGAAGGGAGGTCCTGTCAGGTCGCAACAACAAACAACTATTCACTTAAAGGCGAAGACGGAGATTCTTCCGAGGCCACATCGTGAGTTCAGGCCTGTGACAGGTTTCAGTACTTACAGTACCAAATCAGCCCTTGCAGAGACTGAACCGCCATTGCCTGACTTGAAACCCTGACCCGTGTACGCGCACGTCCGCGAGCAGGGGTGCGTGCACTGGCAACCAGCACGACTCCACCCGCCTTTACCTAGATCGTAAGGTGGTGCACAGTGTTTACCGTTTAGCCCTCGACTCTACGCCAATCGCCTTCCGTCTTTTCGCAAGAAACGAAAGCGCTTCCAGGGACTCGCCGACCTCGAGTCCGATCAGCCAGGGCTGTCGCGGAGGAGCTCACAGGCAGCGAGAGTTTCGTGCGAGGGTTTCTGGTATGCTGGTTGCAAATGTCGGCGATTGAAAATGGTCACAATGCTCACAAGCCGCGAGATGCTGTGAGATTCTCCCCCCTGTGCCGGAAAGAACAGACCGGTCAAGGATTGACAGTTCTTCGGAAAAGGGGAGCCAGAGAGGATATCTGCTACACTGCTTCCCAGAATGTCGCAAGTAGCTGTAAGGATTCAATGAGGTAATCTGAAATTCCTACGTCCCATGGCGAAAGCAGTCGTTTCAGACAGCGCAAGGCAAGCCCGAGACAGCGATTTTCGCCTCTGATCGTGGCTTGGCGGGAGAACGGAATAAAGCCGCCGCGCAAATTCATGCATCTCCACGCATAAGATGCAGATTCATGCCTGGGATGCCTGCATGGGTGTGTGTGTGTGTCTCTGTGGGTGTGTGCAGAGTTGCCAAGCAATGGAAATGCTCAGGCACAGCTGAACCCTTTCCAGCCGCCCCCGTCCTTGGATCTTCCACCCGGACACGCTGCAGGTCAGCACTTAGGTCTGCAGAAGATTTGCATCCTGCAGGTTCTTCCGACGGAACAAGGCTGAAGAGCTCGACTTTCTGCAGTAGCTGTCGCCTCCGCTAGAACCAAACTAAGATGCATCATATCCAGATACCAGTACTGGGGGGATCTGCCAGCTTTCCCCAACCGAGAGGCTCTTTGTGTCGGGTCTCGCTGATCCCAATAGCGGAGAAACCTGAAGGCTTCTTTTGCTGCAAGCAGTAAGACGAAGACCCACGGTTGAGTGCGATGTCTCGAAGTACCCTTAGAACTGCTAATGTACTCTTGGTCCAATGTAGCTGTGTGACTTGGTGCAATCGGCCACGCTTCCTGCAGCTCAATCGCCACCGGCCTTGGATGCAGCGGGCCCCGAGGAGGCAGTGGGTTTCTCAAAGCTCAAGGTCTCCTGCAAGATTCTGGTTTTGGGATTGGTGTCAGATGGTTGAGGGCTGCGGTCTTTGGCGCTGGGCCCGGCTCAACAGGGAATAGTGGTACACAACTTTACTATGAAGCTTTGGGGGCTGCATGTTCGCTGCGTATGTTGCACATCCGAGTGTCGAGCCGGCTCTGCCTTACTACCTGAGGCTTTATGGCTTTATCAGCTGAAACACCCCTTCAACTCGAAAGTCTACCCTCGCCCAGGTAACGAGCCACAGGCACCTAAACAGAAACTCGCTTAAAACTTCATGCCCAAACCCCCCCGAGCCTCTGGACTCTAGACTCTAGACTCTAGAGGCTCGCCCGAACTCCTAAAGGCCCGAGTCCCCGTGCAGGATGGGGTCAGCTCAGGGGTCGCCAAGGTTCCGAACTCAGGGCGTCGACTTCTGGGCTAAGGGTCCGGGATTTAACTTAGGATGCTAGTTGCAGGATTTTGCGGCTCACGTAAACCATGGCCTTTCGGGCCAAGGACCGGGGTTCTTCGTCATGCGCAGAGTTGAAAAAGGAAAGGGCTTCTTCCCCATCGAAGGTGCTGCAACAGGTCCATGTTCGCAGTAGCTTCCAGCTGGGGTTGCCGTTTACTAAGTTTGAAGGCTTTACAGTTTTGGCCAACTTAGGCTCCTAGCCTGTGATCCGGTTCTTCTGATTTTTGGGTCAGAGCTCTGGGTGGAGTACATCGAAAGATGCTGTTTTTCCAGCTTCTAAACACTGGTGGCCTCGGCGAGTTTGATCTTGATCCCCAACCCCCGAATCAGAAATTCCAGCTTCCCAAGGCCTAAGCCCGCCTAAGCCGTGTCAGGCGGATGATGTGGGCCTGCTGGTGGAGCAGGAGCGGCCTGCGTGAAGCTAGCTGGGTTTGGCTTCCGAGCTACCAGGCTACCATACATATCGAAGCCTTTTGGCATTGAAGCTTCTTTGGGCCTTCTGGGATGGGTCTGGCACTAGGGATCTCACTCCTCTTCTTTCCATGCTCAGCACAACCGCTTCACAGCTCGCGCTGACCCGGTACTGAAGCTCGAGCCCTCCTTGAATTCCCTGAGCTCTGACAGATGGGAGACCTGGTTTGCCGGCTGCAGCAGCGGCAGGCTAGAGGGTTTCTGAAGTCGTTGAAATGGTCCTGTCCAGCTCATGGGCTCAGGGTCTATGAAGGAACTTGGGCATCTCAGGGGTTGCGGTTGTGTTTTGCGGCCTTCCAATGCTGGGGCCAACGGTATGTTGCTTCTGATTGAAACGTAACTACTGGTCGGGGCCTTTTCTGAAACTACCTCATCCTCATCACTGAGTTGTGCTGCTTTTGCTCATTGCTGTCATCGCTCGAAGCTGTGACGCCAAAGCAGCAATCCCGAGCTTGGATTATTCGGACTTCCCTATCCACGACGTGCGAAGCCCGGCACAACCGAAAGTTTAAATATAGTATATAATAGTCCATCGTAGTCTGTTGTAGTATAATTTAGTGCGATATTATCGTACACTTATTACAGCATTCTCTGGTATATTACAATATAGTATAGTACTATGCTACAAGAAATGAGGCAAGCTCCAGCGCCCAAATCCAAACTTGTGGATCTTGGGGAGCCAGGATCTTGCCATCTTCTCCGAGGAAACATACCCAGAGGCTCACTGCGCATGTGAAGCCCAGAGCTAGTCGACCGGGTTAGTGCAGATGTCTTCCAAGCCCCTTGCACTATGCATTCGTGATCCCCGCCAGCACTAGTAGCAGAAGAGAGAAATTTCTGAGTGTTGCTAGCTTGACGAGGAGGCACATCAGAAGCTGTTCGCAGGCAGTGTCAGGAGGCAAGTGTACGCCATAATCTCACCAATACTCTTGCAAAGGTCATCACAGCCTGACCCGACGGCGTCAGTTCACCCGAAACCCTAAACCCTTAACCCTAAAGTCCGGCAATTGTGGTTGCGGGCTTTGGGGTGAGTCCTGTTCCAGACGTGGTTAGCGAAAGGACAAGAGGTCCCCCCCCCAAAAAAAAACACACACACACACACACACAAACCACGAATTCCAAGAACCCCGAGAGTCGTCACCAGATTCTTGGCGCAGGGCAAGTTGTGCCGGCTGGGAGAGCCGGGCATGTGATATTGTATATTATCTTATATGGTTCTACATCATATAACATGATGTACTGTACCATACCGTATTATCCTATCTCAAAGTGTCACATCCGATCTTATATTAGATTACATTATGCTGTACTATAACAGAACAAGTTGCGTCATAT